GTTTTGTATCCAATAGATGTGTAGTCAGCACGAAATGTATCTCATAATTTGTTAGGGGTTATCGCTTACCTGCTCAGAACTGCTCAATTGTTCTCAAAGGATGCGACATGGAAACCGGTTGGGTTCCCAGATTTATTTGTTCAAATTGTACACCTGCAGAGATACAGACACATGCATATATAGAGATTAAGATACATATATAGATGTATTTATATGTATGTTCTAACTGCAATTACCACAAAATAGTTGCTTAAATACCATCATCTATTATGCAGGGCCACCCAAAAGGAGATTAAAATTTCAGGGCATTTCAATTTATTGTTACAAAATAATTTAGCTGAAAATCATATTTGAATTTCTCGATTGCCATGGAAAAGGCAAACACTTGCCATGCGATTTTTGCGCATTGCCCTTATTAAACATTCATCGTTCATTCAGAGGCAGGGTACTATAAAAACAATGAATACAAATTAAAGACCATCATGCGCATTATGATGAGTGCATAATGTTGGCAGATTCATTCAGCAGATTACCACTGAATGGAAAGCGGCTTAATAACGATATGAATGGCGTAAAATTTAAATAGGGACAAACACAAAATAAATCAAGGAGATGATGAATAATATATTAAAGTTCAAGAGTTAAAAATCATTTGCGTATGTGACTGAATTATCAACTTAAGGTCACAAAACACATTTAAACTTCGGTTTTTAGATAAATAATTGTTTCATATATCCTTTAATTTCTCTTGTAGTTACTCACTTTAATTTCTATCCAGCTTTTTCCACTGCCAATGATTTGTTGGATATTCTTGTGCTCACTGCTAATTTACGAGGCTAATTTGCTGCCGCAACTTATTCATTGCACTGCACTTGACTGACTCAGTCTTCCCATTTATCCTCTTTTACCCCTTTTACCCTCCTTTGTTTGGTTGGCCATTTCCTGTCACGTCTCTGCCACATAAGACAGAGCAACAAAAAAGAGGCAACGGCAACAGCAACAGCAGCTTGAACTGGTCAAAGAATTTGCAAGGAAAGTTTTGTACGCTTGAAAGCAAAATAAAAGAGGAAAGTATGCCAATTGCCAGGGTCAGGACCCACAGAAGAAAAGGACAAGCGGTGGCCAAGGTTTCCCCACTATCTGTTTATCCCTGCAGCTGCATAAAGCGGAAAGTTAATCGAATTATGTGCAACAAAGTGGCGAAAGAAGATGCACGAACAAAGTAAACCTTCAGAACTAATCACCTAAGAGATTATCCTGTTCTGGCATCTATCAAGGGATATCTCATTTAGCCTTTCTTCTGATTTTGTTTACCTCTCAGTATAGCTATTAAGGTATTAGCCGATTCTAAATTCATTTAAAACTGCTACAGTTTGAAAATAATTAGGCATATGTAGATATTTAAATGGATACGGTGATTTCTTATATCAATTTAAATATTATTTTAAAAATAAAAGAATTCCATTTGTAACTCTTTATGAAATAAATCAATTTATTTTCATAAATAAAATTAATTTTAATGCAGTTGTAAAGACTCTTTTTATTGCCTAAAATGATCTTACAATTATAATATGTTCTATATTTTGATAAAAATAATTTTACTAGGTAGGTCTCCTTGCGTCACTGGATTTTCTTTTGACGGGAACTGCTTTCACTGGCTTATGCAATTATTGGCAGACGCACAAGTGGGTGGGGAATAATGAGGTGGAGGGGTAGTAAAAAAAAGGAGATGAACTGGGAGAAAGGGGGTTCAGGACAACTTGGCTTATTTTCCGGGAGATCATCGCAAATGGGTTGGCAACCCGTTAAAAAGTCAGCTTTCCCTGACCCTTTTTCGACGTCTGTCTCTTCGTTCGTCATCCTGCAGACACTCCTCTTAATTTCCCCCCAAACCCCTTATCCTTTATCCTTGACATCTTTTTGTCTCATTAACATTTGCGCCACGCAATCAACGGCAGTCGAGACTGGACAGCGTTTTTTCTACCGTTGTTGTGTCTGTTTTATTTTTTATTTATTTTTATTTTTTGCTGCATCTCCTTCATGACACTCTGCTTCTTCCCCCTTTTCCCCACTTTCTTCCTTTGGTTTCCTTTTCACCTCGGTTGGGTAATACTCAAAATGCACGGTGGTAAGAAAAATATGTTAAAACGACATATCATTTCATTGAAATTTCGAAATGTTATTTAATAAATATTTTATTACTAAAATAAATACTTTCAGCAAGCTGTAAGCTTTTATAAAAAAAACTTATTTACTTTGGACAAACAAAATATAACTTATATAATACTAATTCTTAGTATATTAAATAATCATATTATTTTGACTTCATTAACATTTTTTTTAACGATTAACTCAAATTTTATGTTAATAAAGTTTAATCATTAAAGGCCCAACATTGGTTTCATATTTATATGTAGGAATCATAATTTAAATTTTTATGTTTTTCATTATGTAGTAGTTGTGACACCTAAGTTAATTAAAATTTTTTATTAGCGCAGTTTTTCCTTCTGAAAAAATGACTTCTGGGTTAGCTTCACTTAAGTTCCTTATGCCCTTTGCTTTTTCCCTTAGCCCTTTTTCCTTTGCCCTTTTTCATGGCTAATGACAATCTTTTTATGATTATCTTCTGCTTTCTAGCTGTCAGCTTAACTTTTTTGTTTGATTCTAGACCGAATGGATTTGCAAACTGTTGCATTCTTCTGCACTTTAAATCGAAAACAAAATTGGGGATATTTTGCATTTCAAAAGGTTTATACTATTAAATATAATAAATTCCTATATTTCCTATTTACTTTTTAATACTTTAAATAAAAAATGTTGTATTGTACCTATAATTAAATATAGAAATTGAACTCACTAAGTGATTAATGCCACCCAGTTTTAAAACTGAGCAACTGATAAATATTTAAGATATAAGTTTTTTATAAACAAGTATGTTTTTGTTTTGATCCACTTCACCGTTTAATCGTGTAGGGTATTTTATTCTTTGATTTGTCACCACCCACATTTTGCTCTATTTTTTTTTATTCCCTGCTTTCTGCTGCAGTTTCAATTTGGTCTTTTGTTTTGTGCTGTGCTTTGTTTTTAATTATTTTTTTTTTCTTTACTGTTTGTCATGGTTGATGTTGCTGTTGCTCCTCGGTGTTGCTGCTGCTCTGCGATGTTGCTGCTGTTGTAGCATTTGTTTGACAAGCACCACGTACAACATGCTCGTTTGGCGAGGGTTCGGGGTATATGAGTTGGCTACAAAATTAAAAATGATATGAAATCAACAACGGCTGTCGGTGGAGCTGGGGAAATTGGCAAGCAGAAGATGCACTCGACCATGTTAACCAAGGGCCGAGAACCCGGGAAACAAGTCAGTGGAAAGGCAAAAAAGTCAACTTTATGACATGTACACACAAAGTCCGAGGCGGGAAATGGAAGTAAACAAATAGGAATGGAAACAATTAAGGGGATTGGGTATGACAAAACGAGATGAGGGGCTTCAAAAGAGATTTAAGTTTTGCAAAAAGTGAAACACAATTAGAATATCTAAGGATATATTGCAACAGGTTAAGACACAAACTATTTGATTGTTGCTTTTGTGCTTTGCTAATGTTAGTAGATTCACGTATTTTGTTTGTTTCCTTAAAATAATCGGCATTTAATTAAAACTTTTCCACTTAAATTCCAATTCAATTTGAATCATTGAACTTTTTAAAGGTTAAACATTTTTATTTTTTAACCTCTATCGTTTTTGCACTTTGTTGCACCTCCTGGTCAACCTCAATAAAGTTTGTTCCCCTCTTTTTATTAACCTTTTCACTTTTCGGAAGGATCGTGTCATAAATATATTTTTATGATTCCTTTTCTCATAGCTTTTTTCTGACGTTCGTTAGTTGATGTCCGACCCTCTGTAGAAAAGTCTGAAACTCCTTTGTCATTTATGCAGCCAGCAGTATTACAAAACTCTCGATGCAACGACCGCAGCAACCAAAAATGAAAAAAATAAAAGCTGGAAAACAACAGTGGGTGAATCATTCCACCTTTTTTTCTGTTCAATTTTTAACTTTCTATATATACTGTGGATTCTTCAACCATTTTCTTTGGCTGCTTTTTGTTACCTTTTTTGTTTTCATGACATTTATTATGACGTCAATGGGGGAAGCGTTTAATTGACAGCCACTATGGTTATTATTTGGCTCCTTTGGTTTCCTTCCTTTGCTGCCACTTCCGATACTCCTATTATTGTTTTAAACTTTCATTTCTAAATTTATTGAAATGTCTTAAACAGAAGTGCAATTTTATATGCAATTGACAGTTTTATTTGCTGTTCAATATGTGGAAAATGGCGTGGTTTCTGGCTGAAGTGTCAGTGTTGCAGTTTTCGTTGTTGACGTCTTGAAATTGCGCATAATGTTTCAGTATTATTTATATTGTTGTTTATATTTGATAGGAAATTTGTAGAAAAGAGTTATTTTTTTTTAAACTTATGTTGTTCTTGTGAAATTTTTGTTATATATTTATTTTTTTTGTACTGGTATTTCTAATGAACTTTTTGTAATGGTTAATTCTTGTCTTTTAATGGCTTGTGCTATATTAATTTATTGCTAAACAAATTTTAACAAAATTCCAAAAAATTTAGTTGTTTATTTCTGTTGATGACAGAGTTTTTGTTGGTTTCTGGTGTCCTAGTTCCTGTTACAGTATTTATTTCATCTTAAGTTGCTCAAGCTCCTCCTTCAGCTTCCGTTGTGGCTGCAACAATTGCATGGACTGATATTGCTCTTGTGACTGTAGTTGCAATTGCGGCTGACATATCCCATTACAGTTTCCGTTACTGGTTTTCGCTCAAAGGAGTTACAAACAGTACGACAGCTGCACATGCAAAAGAGTTGAGTAAAATGTGTGCAAATAGTAGGTTATCTTCCATACAAGTATAAGTATATATGATTTTTACTGGCAATAAATGCGACTGTTTGGCTAATATATATTCTCCATCTCTGTCTCTCTTGCAGCAACGCAAACTGGTGGAAAATTGTGGCAAACTTGTGTCTCCCCCAACTGTCATTGTCTTTGGCATTGGGCAACATTTTAATTGAAAAAGTTTTGCCAGCTCTCGCACACAGGAGAGATGACTGTGAAATTGGCCAAGCTGTTTGGGGGCGTAACCGGGGGCGTTGAGGTCCTGGACTCGGGCAATTCGCCACATCAGGAGCAACATCTGCAGCAGCAGCAGCAGCATCTGCAACAGCAACATCAGCAGCAGCAACCACTGGCTGCACCGCAGCAACATCTGCAACAACCACCGCCTCTGCCGCCACCGAATGCGAATATGAAGAGTCTAAAGTATTACGAGCACCTGCAGGCCACCTACGATTGCCAAGATCTGATGGACCACGATCAGGATGACTACGAGGACACCTGTATGCAGCGCAACCATCCGTACAACAATTCCCAGAGGCCGCTGTTGGGCGATAGACGGCCCCAACTGACGGTGATGAGTGTGGGCAAGAAGGGAAAGTCGGGCAGTGCCCAGCAGAATCATCCGCTGCCACCGCTTCCCCCCCTGCGGACCTACGTCTCACCCTACGTTCAGCAACAGAAGCGGGACAGTGCCAAGGGATTGCACGGATTCAACGATTTCGATGCCCTGTCACAGCAGTACAACCAGCACCTGCAGAGTCCCCACATTGGCTATCCCTATGGCAGTCCACCCTCGCCAACGGCGCAATCCAGTGATTTCTGTTTCGATCGGCAGACCGGATTGGTCATGCTACCCGGAACCGCTGGCCAGATCATCTCGAGCAGTTCGAGCAACTGCAGCAGCTCGCACACCACCTCCACCTCCTCGCCCACTAGGTATTACCCAGATCCTCCGGCCAGCAATGCTCAGTATTCCTCCCGATTCGAGGACGACTTCTGCATGCGTCGTCCTGTCCTCACGGAGAGCTCATCACCCACCGCCAACATCGCCGGAGGAGCAGGAGGAGGACCCTTCATCTTTGGCATTGCACCGGAGCAACAGGTCACGGATTACGGCAGCAATCCACTGCCACCAACGCCCCCTCAGCTGAAACAACAATCTGTGATTAGCCGAAGTCCTTTGGTGAGTTACCTGTTTCTTATTAAAATTAATTAAAGCCATTTGCATTTAATTGAATTTCATTTGGCTAAAATATGCAAGTGACTTCTATTGGATTTTGCTAGACTAAATTGTGTAAGGAAAATTAAGAAGTTATGGAAAAGTAAGGGGCAACGCAAAGCTTAGAAAGGTTTAATATTAATTCAACCCAATTACACTGGGATCATGGAATGTTATAACTTGAGGAACAAATATTAGAGAATTAATCTACAAACTTGTAGAGGTAAGTCGCATTGTAATAGGTGTTCAATGGGTCGATTTCTGTGTCCAGAAGTTAGAGTGTTGATCACCTTTTTGAACAGTCTTGTTTTATTAAGCGCTTGCTTCTTGATTTTTAAGTATATAGAGCTGCGAAGAAACTAGTCTTAGTGGTTTTTAAGTCAGTCATGGCAGAACCAACTAATAATAGAGTCTTCTCGAACAGAAGCAACAAATTTACCGACTGGACAGGTCTGTGAAAAAGCCTTGGCTGGAAAATACATGTTCTTTGTTGATTTTCGTGTATTTTTTCTCTGTGAAAAGTGGGTTGGGTGGATGGGTTGGGAAGTGTTATGAGAATTTCGAAGCATGCTAACCGTTTCGAAAGTGGGTAAGGGGAAACTTCAACAATCGATTGTTGTTCTCTTCTTCACATTTTATTTTTTTCTGCACTCTGTTTTGGCGGCTTAAGAGTTTACCGTTGCCGTTGTTGTTGCCGTGGGCGTGGGTGTTGCTGCTGTGTTGATATTGCTGTTGCGGCAGCAACACAAGCTGCTGCTGTTGTTGCTGCCGTTTGAATTGCAACTGCATTCAGCATTTCGCATCGGGACGTCTGTCTATTTTGATAATGGCCAAAGATGCTTCTCGCTCACCTGGCCGACTGAAAGATGGTCAGTGGGGGGTTAAGATGGATGGAGGGGGGAGAGAGGAGGGAGGTAGCGAGGTAGGGGGTTAAATAGACCTCGGAAAAACAATCCTCTCACCGCTGGTGGTGCTGCTGCAGCATCTTCACGAAGACAAAGCCCTTCAATGTCTGAGCCTGCGTCTGCTTGAGCTTTTCATTTGAACAGCCAGCAGCAGGAAATTCAGGACCTTTTCCTTCCATCACCATCACAGTCTTCCATTTTCCATTTTCCCCACCATTGCCAACATTTCCACCCGCCGCTGTGCATCTCTTTGCCCATTAAAGCCAAGCAAATTAAAATGTTGCAGAAATAAAATGTAAGAACCTTATCACGCCGCTCTCCATTTTCCCACGCACTCAGGACGAACGGAATGGGCGACTGGATTAAAGCACATTTCGTTAATTAATAATGAAATTAATTCATGAATAGCAAGTGCGAGCGAAAGTAAAGAAAAGAGCGCCCAAAAATAGCTCAATTAACGGATGAAATGGGATCGTAAAATAAATTAAGAAAAACTATAAGGTAAAGGAGGTTGCAGAAAATGGGAGTTACATATGTGCAGAGCAACGAAATGCATAAATAAAAAAGTTTTGACTTAATTAATTTTAGTGAAATAATAAAAATTATTATAAAATTAAAAAGTATAAGTATAAGTTAAAACTTTTAAAAATAATAAAAAAAAGAAAATAGCTGGAGGAAACTTTAAAACATGGAAATATAAAAATCCTTTGAAGAAACCGAGCTGGAAAATCGCATTGCCAGTAATGATACAAAATTGGCCTGGGCCCAGTTAAAAAAGCAAATTACGCTAATGAAATGTTTTAACCCTGATGTGGATGCACTTCACACCACACCAGCACTTTTTCATCGCTTTTTCACTCCTTTTCCCCCGTCGAGAACCGCAAAAGTCCCCAAATGTTCCGGCAAAGGAAGGGGCACCACAAAAGTAGAAACTGAAATGAAGGAAAAAGAAATTTTCGTAATTACACTTAAGTTGGTTTAATTGTCGGACAGATATTCCGCTTCTTTGGCTGCAACTTTTCCGTTTTTCCGCCGTTTGCAGAAATTAATTTTATGGGTATACTAATTATACAAATTTAATGGGATTTATTTGACTTTAAAAACATGCATGAATATATTATGGGCGAACTATAGCATTACAGCAATTTTTTGTTTATCAAAGGTAGATAAGGCTTTTAATTTTTTGGGGCAGTAAGCTCTTGGCACTTTGAAAATTTTTCCCAGGATCTAAATGAGGCAGAGGGAAACAGAATGAGGCGGAGAAAATGAACAGAGAAAGGGGCTGAGATTGGTAGATTAAGCTGAGTACATGTAGGAAACAGATACATGCAATCTCTGGGTTAATTACGCTACTTTCCCAGATTGCCAAAATGCGCAAATAAGCAGGAGGATTAGCATAAAACACAGAGAGAGGAAACGAGACAGGAAAAGACTAACCTGGCCAACAAGACAATAACAAACTAAAATGATTTTCATTTCTACCCAAGTGCTGAAACTGATTTATCACCTGATTTTAGGTCATCTTTAATGTCCCAGAATAACAAGACAATAAATACGGACTATAAATAGACCTCATCATGCTTATGTTTATATAGCTTTCTGAGTTAAAGTCGGCACTATATAACGATAGTAACGATTGTGATGTTTCTAAGGACACTATTGAGGTTTTTCGGTCAGCTACACTTAATATACTATATCTTCTATATATGGCACACAAGGTTGCGGTCTAAAAACGGCGCCAACAGCAGCAACATCGAGCAACTTTTGCTGTTGTTCTGTAACAACGAACCAAACCGAAAGCAAATCAAATTGAATTGCGAAAAATCGTCTTCGATTACACGGCCACAGACCATACCATATATGCATATATATTTATATATATATATCGCATAGAAATCACAAAGTCAGAGAAAGGGGAGTGGGACAATGAGAATCATTTTGTTTTGGCATTGCAAGCTCATTGAACATTTGATAAGTAGCGCAATATCGATTACACTGCTTAACAAAAGATAAATGAATCAGAGCCTTTATGAGTCATAATAAATCGGAAATAAATTGCAACACAGTTTTTTGGATGATAAACTTTATTTTCTCAAGACAACAACTTTTTATAGACTAGGTGCTAAAGAACAAATTTTAATGAGCGTGTAGCTTTTTAAATAAAAATACAAATCTTTTTTTAAATGCTATATACAATTTTCAAATTTTTGAAACATATTTTACTTTGCCTTTATCCTTTAATATTTAACATTTATTTATTTTACTAAAATAAGATCGTCTAATTGTAATGAATAAAATGATAAATCGTTTTACCTGTTGCTTAGTGTCCACTGTTGCTGATTTACCTGTTTTGTTCAGCTTGTTACGGTTACTGTTCTGATTGTTGTTGTTAAGTCTGTGTTTCTTATGGTATTTTTTGTCTTTGTTTTGGTATAACATTGCATTGAAAATTATGCCACTTAAGATCAATTTACCTTTCAGCTATAAAACAAAAGCAAAACAAAGCACTAGCTGAAAACAAAAATCGAAATAAAATTTGTTGTCTGCTGCAGCTGCAAATGTTGTTGGCTGTTGCAACTTAAATAATTGAAATCACTGTTGCTAATGCACTGAGCAAACAATTTGGCTCAAACGTGTACGATTTCAAGACGTTACCAATATTTATATATAATGTAGGCAATTTTTTGCTCTGACCTCGATTTGAAAATGGGTTTTTTTATATTTTATGTAGATTATATTGTTGATTAATATAATTCGAAAATAGGCAGTGTAAATAAAATGGGATAAGTATTTTTTAGGTCAATGTTCAGTAAAATAAACTGCAGTTTGCTTTTAAATACTACAATATTATTCCAATATCACTTATGTTTCTCAACTTATTTGTTCTGTGTAGAGTGGTTGTTAGTGGCATAGTTGTTGCCACATAGTTAAGTTGTTTTGGCTTTCGTCGTCGCACTGTCTGACAAAGTTAAAACTGCAAATCGGCGGTGTAGATGGGGGTGTTCTGGTCGGGAGGGGGGTACCACCCGGGGGGTACGGGCAATGTAAAATGCAACCTGGCGCGACCAACTGGCTGGCCAAAAGCCGAGGTGCTTTGACCAACCTAGCCGGTTTCAGCGACCATGAGACAACACACAAATGCAAACACTAACACACTCGGACATTTGGACATTTGGACATTCGGACACTGGGACTTTTGGACACTTGGACACCACTTAAGGCCGCATCTGGACCAGGTCCACAGCACCACCAGTACAACCCTCTTGTTGGCACCACCATTAAGCGCCTGTTGCATTATTTGATTAAAAAGTTTGGCCCAAACCCCGACGCCGAGTTTACTTGAGTTTTATGGCCCGCCTTCTTCAGTTGGAAAGTTGTGTGTCGGAGGTGTCTCGGAACTTGAGTTTCCGGATTGTTCCGATTCCGCTGGCTCCATTTGGGCAATCTTAATGCCATGCCGAGTTGTTCCCGGCAGTGGGTTTAATTAACTTGATGGTCTGGCATAAATGCAGATGCATCCTTCAATTCCCCCCTCTCTCGCCGCCCAGATCGCAGCAAATATGTATCTATATATTTATACATGAGTGTATATATATATATATCTCTCGGGCGCTGCGGCGAGACATCTGCCACACGAGTGGGTTGGCTGTGGCATTCAGTTGCCGGTTAAGTGCGAAATTGGGGTCGTCAGCTTCAGAGTTGCACGGCGAAAGAGATAGGGTGATTTGTATATGTGGATATTATAGTATGTCCCCAGGGTCTGAAACTCTGATCATAAGTCCAAACTACAGGACTAAAACAAATTATATAATTATATAAATTAAAAACAGAAACTTACAAATTTTTCCAAATGGTTTTTATTAAAATTTTTTTTTTTTCGAGTCAAAATAATTTTTATTTTTTTATATAATTAAGTATTTAAGTATATATAATAGCATGTATTATTAATTAAATAATATACGTATAGGTACTTGTTTATTTCTTATTTACAAAAATATTTTAAAAGGTTGTACGTCACTATTAAATATTTGATCCAAAAAAGATTCTGAAATTTTTTAG